AGGTACGTAAAGTTTAGTTTAGTTTTTTACGTTTGGAAAGGTTTACAAGTTTTAAAGTAGTAGTGAGTGACATATATATATTATATATATATATATATATATATATATATATTATTGATCTAATTATTTTGCTTTCATTAGGCACGAGAGAATTTTTATCATATTTTCTGGAAGAACGTATTCTTTCTTGTTCACATGGCCCAAATCAAGTACAAGCAAGCAATTTTTTTTGGGACTTAATTTGAATCTCATAATACTTTGAGTCTCTTTGAGACTGGGAGAGTTTTCACTTTAGTTTTTCATTGTTTTGTCCAGACATAGGATAGACCCATGCAAATCTAATTGATGAATCCAAGTATCAAAAATGAATTTTTAGATATGTTTTAATTACTCTCACATAAACTTCTCTTTTTTTTTTTTGGACAAGCTTCTCATAAACTTCTTATAACTTGCATATTATATATTATAAATACTATAGTAAAAGACATCATATATTTACTAAGCATTATAGTAAAAATAATAATATTGCGTCATACAACGTAAATATTATAGTAAAAGAACACTATACATATGCACTACTATTGTTCTGTTATAGTAGAACTCTAATTGACAATATATTGTAGGTTTTAGTAGAGAATAAGCAGTAAGAGGAATAGCCAGAAAAGTGGATCTTAGATGTCCACACCCCATCACATTATCTTATATACTTGTAAAATAGTTTTACTGGCTACTGCTTTCTAGATTGAAGAATCTTTGTCCTCTTTTCAAGTTTACTCATGGGAAAATGTTACTATTTTTTGCATGTGTTTTCTGATTGAGTCCTCCCTTCCACTGAGCAACTATTTTTATAAGTGACTAGTGTTGCATTTAGCTATTTTATTTTGATCGATTATATTACTAATAGAGAATGTGCCTATGCATTATGCACAATCTTTTCTGTTCTTTTTGTATTGTGGATTTATGATTTGCCCATGACTTTTTATTATCAGTCTTGCATGTCTAGAGTATGATAATTCAACGAAGTTGCAGAGAAGTCATTTCTTTATTTGAATTTGTATTCATGGAACCATGCTAAACTCTCTTGTCGTTTCTGTTTTATTTTTGTTTAATTTCTTGTTTTTAAGTTTGTTGCTTTTGCTATGCTCGTCTTAATGGCCCAGTTAACTAGCTTTCCGACCATTTTAAAAATGATAAAAATGGCTTTACAGGATGATAAGAGTGTTGCTCATCTTACGCATGTGAGTGAAATGGAAGAGAAATGTGAATCACTGGCTCGGTATACTGCTATATTGAAAGATGTTATTCAAAACAAGGTAAAGTACTCTTGACAATTCTGTATTTGTTTTAATGCAGAGAAGTATTGCTTAGTTAATATTTCTGCTTGACTTTTTGTGAAATTTAGCTTATTTCAGCATACTGTTATGTGCTATTACGTTTATTGTTCTTGCGCTGGTAGGAATCTTGTGCCTTCTGTAATACCTATGTCCTACTGGTCCTGCAACTAAGAAATCCGAATCTTTTTCTCTGTAGACATCAAAACATCTCAAAGAATTATAATCTGTTATTTGCTTGGAGAATGTTAATGGTTGTCTAATGGTTATGTGCTCAATCTGACCTCTGAGAATAGTTTCTAATGCTTTCCTGCCCAATGGATACAATGGAATTCTGACTTCTGAGAGATTATGAATGGTTCTAATGACTGAAAAGTACAATGGATTAAAGTATGATTGTTAGAAGACCTGCAATTTTTTCCTTCTCTTTTTGGAATATTTGGGTAAGTACTAGCTTTCCAAAACTTGGCTGAGTTACTCGGCCTCAGCATCTTGCCGAGGCAAGTTTTGGTGACAACTGGATTTATCAAAAAGACTTATAAAATTAAAAATATTTTTACGAAACCACAAATGAATGCTGAATAAATATGTTATATAGGATTTGTAATTTTTCATGTTATGTGCTCTATTTTTGTGTTTTTCCTGTTTTTTAGATTTTCCTGAATTGTTTTAAGTTATAAACCCAAATTTTCCATATTCCATCTCCTATGTACTTTTTTTTCATCTTTGTCTTTTGGGGGGGTGTGGGGGTTTTTTGAGACCTTTTTGGGCTCGTACATTACTCAGGCGAGCGCACTTGGACTTCTAGTCAATTATTGACTCTGCACTTTCTTCCTCTTTCCCTTCACATAATTCTAGATTTTATCTTCTTCCTCTTCCTAGATATTTTTCTTCTTCTTTCCCTTTGCATAAATCTAGTTTCCTCTTTCTATTCACATAATTCTAGATTTTATCTCCTTCCTCTTCCTACATCTTCTTCCTCCTCTTTTCCTTCACATAATTCTAAATTTTATCTCCTTCCTTTCCCACATCTTCTTCCTCTTTCCCATATAAATCTAAAACAAGAGAGGAAAAGAAAGGAACAAAAAAGGAGAAAGAAGGAGGGGGGGGGGGAATCATCTCTATGGGGAATCATGTGCCTAGTTCTCCTTCTTTAGGGCCTCACTCCCCCCAAATTTCTCTCTTTAGGGCATCAGCACCTAGTTGTTCAACACCTCTTTCTTCTTGTTTCGCTTGACAAGATCTCAAAGTTCCTATTTCTTTGAAACCCTAATTCTCTATATCTACTCTCTAGGCAATCACTTGCTGAATTTTCTTCTTATAGAGCACCACATGCTCACTTTTCAACAACCTCTACTGAAATTTCAGTAGCCTTTTTCTCTTTCAACTTCTAACCCCACATAATGTCTTTCTCTAACCCGTTTTCTATGGTCCCTACAAAGTGGACTTCTTCCAATTTCGTAACATGGAAAACCATTCATTTGTGGTCAGAAAACCCACGGGTTATTTAGATGGTTTTTTAAAATCCCCTTCTAGACTTCTTAAAAAAAGTGAGATTGATGAGACTGGAAAAACAAGGGTAGTCTCATTCACAAAGCATGCATATGAGGAATGGGTTGCTATCAGTTAACAACTCATTGTATGGATCAGTGCAACTCTCTCTAAAGGAATCCTCGTAGAAAACATTGGAATGCCCACAGGTACAGAATTAAGGAAGGCTTTACATGAATCCTTCTCATGGGTCTCAGAGGCACACGTGACACGCTTGAAACTTGAACTTCAGCAATGCAAACAAGAAAAGATGACGATAATGGAATATTATAATAGAACTAAAGGTCTTTGCGATCAGCTTGCCATGATCCAACAACCTGCCGGTTGATAAAGTATATGATGTTCTAGCTGGTCTGAGTAACGAATGCAAAATGTCCATCACTCAGTAACTGCTATGCCACTATTTCCCACATTTTTAGAGCTATGCGGCTGTGTCCATTGTTACTACAACATGAGTTCCTTTTTCATAGCCAACCTACATTGAAACATATCCTAAATCAAGATTCTCATGACTGCTACTCACAGTCAGCAACCCTGGAACATTTAATGCTGGACGAGGTGGATGTGGATGGAGTCATGACAATAGGTTGTAAAAGAGCAGGTGGATTCCATCCATTTCCACCTAATCAAGGGTGTAGCCCTCTTCCTGCTCCCAATTACCATCCACAGAATGCAGATCTGGGGTATAGAGGGGTGGCATGTCCAATCAGTGGTCGCCAAAACCATACTGCTGTCGACTATTGTTATTGCTACAATCAGAAGGGACAAAGCTCAAATACTAATGAAGACAAAGTTGCAGCCTTAAACATTGCAACGGAAGCCATGCCATTGTCTTCATTAAATGATCAAGCATGGATTGACGACAATGGGCAGGTAATCATGTTATAGGTGATCTTGGTAAAATTCTGACGCTTTACCCTTATTAGCAGTGGTTCTGTAATAACTGGAGATGGGTCCTCTCTTCCTATCAACATGTAGGAAATGCTCTTGTAAACTATTGTAATGGTCTCATTCTTTTGAATAATGTATTTTTAGTCCCTAAAATCAAGCGTATTCACATTTTTGTTTCTCAGTTAACTCAAGAAAATAAGTCATACTTTGGTGATACATCATCCTCTATTTTTTTAAGGATCCATTATCCGAGACAATATTTGCTGGGGGGATTCGACAAAGACGTCTATATATGTATTTAATGATGAATCGAGAAAGCTCCCATTGTTAGTATCTTCGTTTAAAATAAATTAGAATATCTATGTTTGGCATTGCCGTCTGGGTCATTGCAATCATGAGTCAATTAGTAGGTTATGTAAAGTAGGTTTAGTTCCATCAATGTCTACGAGCCAGAATTTTTTTTTATGTCATGCATATCTACATTCCCAAATTCCATTTTCCAATTCTAATAAAAGAATTTCATCACCTTTGAATTAATTCATTCTGATGTGTGGGGACCTGCATCAGTTTCTTTTTCTTCTCATGCCAAATATTATGTGATCTTTGTGAATGATTTTTCATGATGTACTTGGATTTATTTCTACAAGGAAAATTCTGAAGTATTCAAAACATTCATACAGTTCAAAATTTTGTTGAGAACCATTTTCATAGGCCAATCTTGTTCCTTTGTTGTGATGGGGGCGATGAGTTCTCGTGTCATGCATTTAAAAACTACTTGGAGAATAATGGGATAGGGCAACAGATTTCATGTCCACATACCCTACAACAAAACGGAGGAGCATAATGAAAGCATCGCCATATTGGTGAGTTTTCTCTTTCCTTGATGTTCGCTAGCGGGGTACCAAAATATCTATGGACTAAAGCTTTTCACATGTCTGTTTATGTCATAAATAGATTGGCCGCTCACGTTTTAAATGGTCACACTCCTTATGATATGTTTTATGAAAGGCATGCAGATTACTGGTATCTTCAATCTTTTGGATGCCATGCTTATGTTCATATAGATCATAGTCAAAGGAAGAAATTTTCTCCTGAAGCGGAAGCGTGCATTTTTTTTTGGATATGAAGATGCTCATAATGGCTATCACTATTACAGCCATAAACTTACATGTGTTCTTACATCAGGAAATGTTACCTTTGATGAAATGAGGATGTGCAATCCACCTAAAATTATTTTATCGCAAAGATGAAACAAGGCCAGCGAGGGTACGGTTCAAAATAATCAGCGGATTCCATAGTGCAAAATAAAGAAGTTGTTCTCCCTGTATGCACTCCTAGTGATACTTTTAGCCAAACACTGTTGATGAGGATGTTTCTCATCAACCTGGCGAAGATTTTAAATATCTTTATGATAAGGAACCTCCATTTTTGCTACAGTCTAATGTTGCCCCCTCCCCCCAAGGAGTTATTTTTTATCTTAGATGAAACAAAGGGGAGCAAGACGCTTCCACATATAAAAGATTTATAGCTGGTGAAAGAAAATTAATTAATGATCTGAAAAATACAGAAGCATGGCAGGTGCCCTTCAGTATCTTATCCTTACTCGCCCTGAGATTGCTTTTGCACTAAATCAGGTATACCAATTCATGCATGCTCATAGCAATGTTCACTTGGAAACCTTAAAACATATAGTCCAATATATCAAAGGTATTATCAATCAAGGCATCAAATATCATAAAAATTGTATAGATGTTGATTTTGCTTCCAATATTGGATACTCGCATGCGGATTAGGCTGGAGATCCTAACGCTGCAGGTCAGTTTAGGATATTATGTTATTTAGGAAGAAATTTGGTTTCTTGGAGGAGCAAGAAACAAAAATGTGGCGAGATTGAGCATAAAAGCTGAATACAGGGCATTGACAAGTGTTGTGGCAGAGATTCCTTAGATTTGGAACTTGGTTACATCACTTGGATATAATGTGCAGCCCACAACAATTCACTGTCATAATCTGAGTGCACGAGCTATCACAGCTAATCCTATTTTCCATGATCGCACTGATCACATTTACATTAAATGTTAGTTTGTGCGAGGGAAGATTTAAGAAGATGCAAATCAAGTAGAGCATATTGGGACTGGGAATCAAAATGCTGATATCTTCAACAAAGGACCCAAGTGAAAGACATCGTTTTCTAAAGGACAAATTATACATGTTCACACACGATATACAATTTGAGGGGGTGTGTAAAGAATATGTACTTAATATAATTGTCATTCTGTGTTTCGCCTTGTACCATGTTGTCATGATCATCATAGTCAAGGGCATAATTGTTGACATAGACACAGCAGGGAGCCCCACAATTTTGGATGTGCACAGTTGGTGGATCCCACAAGTCAAGCTCACCATGGTTTCTATGTAATTTAATTGTGAAGAGAGTCCCAAAGAGAGTTAATGCACATATGAGTGTGAAATGTGGGAATGTTGTAAGAATTAAATAGGTTGGAAGTTGTGTTGTGTTGGGAGTTTATAGGAGTCATTGTTAGAAAAACTGGGCGATCTAACCGCTAACCGCCCTGTTAGATCGGAACAGCTAGTGGCCAGTTCCGGTTTTAGACGGTTTTGGTGATCGACCGGTATTTAAAAAAAAACAATTAAAAAAATGTATATAAATTCCCAAAAATAACAAATTTGGTTTGTAATGCATTTTTTAATATTCTTTATATTATGGTAAAGATTAAAAATTGTTTTTGTCATTAATACTCACTTTAATTCAAAAATCGATTCATTAAAATCTATTTTTTCATTAATTTTCAACTTCATTTTAATGTGTTTTGTTTTAATCATTCTTTATATCCTTTTCATATTTTAGTAAATTTTTTGCATCCTTTTTTATTTTTTCAACAATCATTCTTTGTATCCTTTTTCATATTTTAGTAGATTTTTTTGTTGCATCGTTTTTATTTTTTCAACACTTTTTTTATCACCCTTGACTTGCCCGGTTAGAACAATTGAATCAGCCGGTTTTCTGGTTGGGCCGGTTAAACCACTTCTGGGCCCATGTCTAGTTAACCGTTCGGGTTCGATTTTGCGAACACTGATAGGAGTCATTACTTGCCTAGTGGTTGTATGGGTGTCTAGGGAGTTGTAGGGATTCTTAGGAAATCTCCAGATTTGTTATGGCAATGATGTTGGGTTTTTAATGTTTTCTTTTTGGAAAGAACACATGATTATAAAAGGGGGTGATATGCCAAGCTTTGAAAGTATGTAATACTCATCTTACAATTGCATAATAGTTCAAGTTTGGCTGTTGTTGAGCAATGCTCTCCGACAAGTTCTGTTCTTTTCCTCCTTTTTTTCTTGATTGTTCTTTATCTTAGCTGCTGTCTAGTTCTCCCTCATCAATTGTACAATGTGATTATATATACAGAAAAAAGTGAGGCATGCCGCAAGTTAGATTAAGGGGGATTTCATTACTTCTTTCTCTTATTCTATCTCTCTCTCTTCAAGCGTTTATCAATTACGTCCTTTGCGATCTCTTAGCTTCCATTATGTTTAGAAAATGTTTAAAGAATATGTGGCATGCTGCTGTTTTCTGGAAGTTGTTTTGATTTCTACATGTACTATGATTCCGAGGAAAGTTTATTTAATTTTGTCTTGGAATTTTGTTTTGATTGTATTGTATTTTGTGACGTGGGACCGGTCATAGAGGAGCCCTTTCTTTTCTAGGTTTTCTTTGTTACTCATCACTAGACTTTTATTAGATGACATGGAACTGCTTCATTTGCCTTAGCTTATACCCATAACAGTGGCATGAAAATTCAGATTCTTGTCTAAGTTAGATGTGTTGTACTAGACTATGCTTAAGGAGCTGATTTTATTTAGTATGAACAGTGCTATGTGCAATCCCTCTAATTATATCTTTTATTGGCAGGATAGGATCATTGCTCGACTTCAACAGCCATATTCACTTGATTGCATCCCAGTAGAAGCAGAATATCAGGTAGGACATTCAATCATCATTATCTTTTTTTGAAGTGTGATCTTTTATCTTTTTTTATTGTTAAGTAAGCAACTATAGAACTACCTGGGATGCTCTCTCTCTTTCTGTGATCTATTATCTTTTTTTATTGTTAAGCAAGCAACTATAGAACTGTCTGAGATGCTCTCTCTCTCTCAACACCCCACCCACACACATGTGCACACATTTCTTGGGAAGGCCATTCTGGAAGTAAGTATGAACTCATTTTCCAAATTCCTTGAAAAATATCTTAATTATGTTTTACCCATGTGTCTTCTTCTTGTGCCTCACACTTTTCTTTTGTTTTATGTTTTCCTCGCATATTCCTCATTCTTCCCAAGTTTCCATGCATTCATAATTTCTGTTCTCTTACCTGATTCCCTTAATCCAAGGCATTTCAAGGGCAAAATGTCTCACGCTTTGCAGAATAAATTTATTCTCAGGTGTCCATCACCCAAATAAATTTATTCATCACCCTCTTAAATTTGGAGTGAGTGAAAGTCCATTTTCAGAAATCATTTTAAAACAGGTGTGGGCCTTACAGTTTAGACACCTGTGGCCCCTTGGTGGGAATGAAATTAAGCATGGTTTAGGGGTTTAATTAAATGCAGAAACTAGTTAAGGACCCTAGTTTTGAAAATGAATTTTTGCCCCAAGAGTGGATTCTTATGAATCAAAAGGAACCGTTTTCTAAAAGTGATCAATTTTTGAAAAGGGATTTTAATTTTTAGAAGGCCTGGTCAGAGCTGGGCCGCTTCCGTCTTAGACCAAAAGGACTTGGAAATCTCAAGTATTTTTTGCGTCAAGCTCGTGCTCCTTGTCTCATGCTTGCGCGTCAATAAATATTCATCACCCGAATCAATGTCTCACGCTTTGGAAAATAAATTTTTTCTCGGTTGTCCATCACCTGAATAAATTTATTCATCGAGCAAGCCTACCTAAGGAAGGTTCCTGTTACCTGAACCATGTTGGATTGCAAGACCCCAATTACCATACCAATTTTCAATTTGTTTTCAAAACAGTTTACTTGAGCAAATGATAAACTGTGCCGCCATTGTTTGCCAATTCATCCCATTTGTTTCATTCTCAAACCTTTCTAACCTGGGACTTCTGTTCCCTTCGATGCACAAAGGAATATCCTGCATGAGAAATCATATGCTGATTTGGTGAACAGCCCTTTGTATTTATGTTTGGTTCTTCTATAAGGTGAGATTCATAGCAGGACAACACAAACCACCCAACAAAAGGAAGAATGAATGTAAGATGTTTCGACCTATTTGAGAACCAGAAAGCTGGATTTCTTGTTAGTTCAGCAGATAAAATCCAGAAACTGAATAAGTCTATCTAGTAAACTATATAAACATATCTATCATAGAACTTCTTATTTGAAATCTGTCAAGCAATGAAGTAGTGTACACCAAATTATTCACAATTCATAAATCATCCAACCTAAAACCAATTTCTGATGTGCTACGACCGCAAGCTTGTTCTATTTGGACTTCATACCACCCTGTGTCTATGGATTTAATTTGTTTGGCTCCTAAATAAGTATGCCTGACCTTAACCGGCATTACCTATGACGAAATCCATTTTTTATTGGTAGTGTAAGATGGAAAACATGAAATCCGTGATCTGTCAAGAGCTCCTTTCCACTAGCTTCTACTTTTAGTGTGGTTGATTAACATAGCTCCTAGAAGTCTTAGTAGAGTTATGACATTATCTAGCAAGTTTTCTAAATTATTTTAGCTCAATCAATATTAACCATAAGATCCATTTTGACAACCTTGGTAGGAGTCTAGAAGAGGGACATTTTGGATCTGAACAATACCTCTGTAACAGTGTTTGCTGAACAGGTTGAAACTTTATTGAATATTTGCAAGTTACACTTCTACATTTTGGGGCCAGCCAAAAACAGAGATATTTTTGGAATGACCCTCTCTGTACCTAAGTTTCTTCCATGGGTAATGAGAATGTCCTATTGGTCGCATCAATGTTTTTAAAATTGGCTCAGCCACGGAACTTTGCCCCTAGCCTGGCCGAGTTACTTGGGTGAGTCTGAATCAACTCACCCTAGTCCAAGCTGAGCCTTACAACATGGCCAAAAAAGGGAAAACATTTCGTGAAAAGTAGCAAGATAGGAAAATAAAAAAAGAGAAAAATAATAGAAATGATCTTTTACAGAAACGGCATATAAAAAAGATGTAAAATGACCTTTCTTGATGGCATGATAATTTCTTCTTGCTGAAATTAACTTATGTTGCATTACTATTCTGGTAGAAACGAAAATGTAAAACATTATCTTCTATAAACATTTACTATTACATCTTTAAAACAAAAAATCCAACGTTATAAAATATTTTATCTCTTTGTAAAATTTTACTCTATATACAAGAAAATTGGAAGTATACGTGAATCTTACTCATTTTTTGTTATAGATTGCAACGAAAGATGTAACAACAAGTGAGTAAATGCTAGATCAAGTCCTATTTTTAAAGAGAACTCAAGATTAGGCTTAGGTATGAAATTCATTGAAGACCGACCACCCGTTGCGTAGAAATCACAAGTTTTTGGGAATCAGGCTTCAGAATCTTCAATTTCTCAAATCCATGAAATTGCTTGTGTTTTTCTCAACTCTAGTTGATCTAGTTAATAGATTGGGCAAAAGTAAGTAGGTATAAGAAAAGTTGTTTTTTGAATGGTACTAGGGCAAGTCTGACTTATGTAAAACTCGGCAGAACTCAGGCAAGTCTTCCTAGTTTTATAGAACTGCAGTGAGTTTGTACCATAACGTGCCCGAGTCTGTACACTTTTTTTAATAAATGTACACCCTTGAATTTCAGGGGGCCTTCAGGCTCAGCAGGGTGCTGAGTTCGAGTGAATTGGAGGAGTCAAGGTTAAACTCGCCAAGTTGTAAAACACTGTTTACATTTAATTGTATACACAATCAAATTGAAGATGACTTACTACTTAAGGTCTTGATTCTTGCAGAACTTCTGAGGATGCTCTAGTGCACAATGCGTAATCTCTGACCATTATTGAGATCAACTGCTCTGTAGATGTTCTCAACGCTGTACTGACAGTGAATTATACTAGAGAGTTTCCGTAAAAAATTTAGTTGAAATAAGTCTTTCTCTGTTTATTCATCTACATTTTGAGTTGTGAGGTATCTCATGATTTGAAATTGGCATCCAAACATGTCCATTTTACTCTTACTGGTGTATTTCCTCTAAAGGTGCCTTTTAAATTCCTAAAGACTCCTGTTTTTGGATGAATACTGCAAAGATTAATTGCCCCCGATTCTTTTTCCTGTTACAAAGGTCGCTAATTGAATTTGTTGTCTGCTGATTAATTATTTTTGACAATTTGTCTCTGACATATAGATGATTGTGATGGTTATTTATTGGGCATGTAAATGCTTGATCTGATATGTGTTTTTCTTTCTTTCTCCTGCAGCAACAATTTTCAGAATTGCTGATCAAAGCTGCCAGTGATTATGGAGCATTGACAGCATCTGTTGCAGATTTTCAGTGGAGCCAAAATTTTAAGGAGCCACCTTCAATTTGGGGGGTAATCTTAGAAATCATCTTGTTCAGAACGAGTTAGGAAAAGATAGTTGTCAAAAAGAAAAATGTCATGATAAGATGGTGATCTATGGCAACTAGGGATCTATTCAAATTGATGAGTTTTTTCTGGCTTAGCATCCCAAATATTGGTTTTTCTGTTTACTTGTTTTCCTCCATGATCAATTTAAAAAAATAAAATAAAATCCAGAGTTTGTAAAAAGTGCCAAAAAGTTAGAAGTCCTTACCTATGTATTTTTGTTTTTCCAATTAATTAAATTTCTTTCAATAAAACACGTGCATACAGTTACAGCTATAGTTTAGTCCTCAGTATCTAGTTGACATCTTGTTTAGAAAGTGTGAAGCATGGATTTGTGATCTGTGGCTTGTGTAGGAAATGTTGAGGCCGATACCAGTTGCCTTAGCTTCTTGCACCCGATTCTTTGAGGCTACAACCGCAATGAGAGAGTCATTTGCTGCTCTTCAAAAGTTAAGGGTGGGTTCCACATCAGCGCGAACCCCTTCTAAGGGCTCACAAGGGCGAACAGATCCCGAGTGCATGACACCCCCTCATTGGAAGCCTGATTACATTGTGGACGAGCCATGTTCTGATGATCCAGTAATCCGAACTCGTAGAAGACAAGAAGAGGTGGTAATGGCTTCCATGGCTGATTTATCCGAGTTTGGTGATACACCTGAGGTGGATTCCTTTAACAGGAGGTTATCTTGGCCCCCTTCAAATATGAAAAGCACATGATGAAAGAATATAGCCTGCTCTTCATTCTTCATTCTCTTACACTCTTTTTGTTATGCATCTCCTCCTTCATTCTTCGTTCCTAACCTTCTTTTTGTTTTGGTTAGCCTCTCTCTAGTCAATGTCCTCTATCACTTGCCTTTGTTTTATTGGGTATGTTTCTCCTATTCTCTCACTGTTCTTGCTTTCTATTATTTTGCTCAAATGCTGTGTTGTTTGTGTGATTTATAATTTGTGTAATATTTGTATGAGACCTCTCTTGGGACCGTCGGTTGTTTACTATTTGATCAGAGGGTCTGTAAGTCTCCAGAGATTTCAGCCTCTGAATTCATTTGACGTGCAGTCGTTTTTGAGAAAGAGCATGGTTTTTGAACCCAAGGTAGTATTGGCAACAATCTCTTTTTCTCGAGTGTTATTTCGTATCTTATTTAGGGCTATAAATGATTCGGAGGGCTGTATTTACTGGCAGTCTCTCTTTTCCTCTCGCTGCCTCGCTGGCCTTATTTAGGGCTGTTTTCATACCCTGCCCTGCTGAGATCTGGACCCTGCTGGCTCTTTGTCCAGGTCAATTGAACCCAGACACAGCCCCTTCAGTCGGCCATAGGCCTGCTCTGCCAAGTCCCTCCTTCCTGCCCAATATACATGCATGCACCCTTACACATCTACAAAAAATTCGGAGGAAAGCTTGATCAGAATTTTATCACATTCGGTAGTACATTTAAAGTTGCTTGATTTCTCATGTAATGGTTAGAGATGATTGTCACATTTTTGTACTAAAGATAACCCGTCTTATTGAATACTTTTTAAATACATAGATGCTAGCTAATGGTTTGTGTGTATAGAACTCTAGCTTGGATGAAAATATTTTGTCATTTTTATTTACTTTAAGGCCGCCAACATTTTTCATTAATAATGTCTAATTTGATCAATATGGAGAATGAAAATACATAAGATAATTGAGAAAGAGAGAGAGTGACGAATGTCCCAAAGCAGTTGAACTTTGGGGACGACTGAAATAAATCCCTGGAGTGGTGATGCCTCCAATTTTCAGAATAAATCTTAACAGTTGTGGAAAATTATTACATCGGTGTGATATGCATAAGGTTTTTAAGTAAGGAGTACCTCCAAACTTTGTCGTGTCATGTAATATTGTTGGTGAAAATTTTTAGGATGATATGGGAATTTGTTTTTATCTTTAATTGTAAATTTTAAACTCAAAAAATAGTTCACATCAAGTAGAGCTATAAATGCATGAAAATCTAAAAAATGGACGGTTCAGATAATGAGTTGCAAGCAATGCTTTAAAAGTCGTCAGTCGATTCGGAATTGTTTGAGTCGACACAAGAGTCAGCCATCTCGTGTCGATTCCTACGCAATATTGGAAATCGGGTATATCAAAAATGGCCGGTTCTCATAGATATGCTACAGTGAATTGGGCAAAATCGTCAGTTCTCGGTGATACACACTACAGTGTGAATCGGTATGTACCATACGAAAAGTACAGCTGCACTCGTCCCAACAGATGGAGTACATAACATCAATAACACTGACACTCTACCTTGTTGCATATTGATGTACAGGAATTGGTCTCACGGTGTCGATGATTTTTATGCAATATCGAAAATCGGCCGTATAAAAAATGGTCGGTTCTCAATGATATGCTACAATAAATCGGGCAAAAACGTTGGCTCTCAACGGTACACGTTACGGTGTGAATCGGTATGTACCATACGAAAAGTATGGTTGCACTCGCCCAACGGACGGAGTACATAACATAAATAACATTGACAGTCTACCCTTGCACGCCACAAATCGGCCACTCCGTGCATGCCGATTCCAACGCAATATTGGGTGCACTACACAACATCAATAACGTTGACACCCTACCCTTGCACGCCACACGTTGCACACTAACACACAAGAATCGGCCACTCCGTGTGTGCCGATTCCCATGCAATATTGGGTGCACTCGCCCAACGGACGGATGGAGTACATAACATCAATAACATTGACACTCTACCCTTGCACGCCACGCGTTGCACGTTGCACACTGACACACAGGAATCGACCAACACTCCGTTCGTGCCTATTTCTATGCAATATTAAAAATCGGAATCGCTCAATACCCGTGCCGATTCTTACACAATATCGAAAACCGGATGTATTAAAAATAACCGGTTCTCAACAATATGCTACAGTGAATTGGACAAGATCACGAAAATCGCGATACAAAATGGTCGGTTGTCTACAATACACGCTATCGCGTGAATCGTATGGCTGCACTTGCCCCAACGGATGGAGTGCATAAACATCAATAACACTATAACACCCCTATTGCACTCCCCGCATCGCCTCCATTGAGGAACATTGAGAGAGGCAGCAGCACACGCAGGGAAAGTCATGGTGGTCAGTTTGCGTCGGATAATTCCTGGCTCCCAAAACTATTCAAAAATTTAATACGCTTCTTATTTAATACACTACACTTATTTTGTACGTAAGAAAAAAGGTTTTTTTACAACCATAAATAAAGTGATAACTTAGGGAAATGAGCATGTCAATTTTTTATTTCCATATTAAAATAAAAAAGACTTTTATATAAAAGTTTTTGCTATTCATTATTAAAATGGTTTTTTCAGTATATTTTATTTTCATATATATATATATATATATATATTTGTAACTATTATGCATGTTGTCGATATTACTTTTTTTTTTTTAATTTTTATATCTCTATTTTCTATTTTTTGAATAAAGTTTTTTTGAATTTTTTAATATCATAACATTAGAATTTATTGGGGGTTTTATTTTTATTTTTAATCATATGATATGGAATATTTATTTGATACTTTTTTAATCATGTTTACTATAATATTATAATTAATAATAATGGTTAACAGTAGTTCTTACTGGATAAAAACATCTCAATATTAGCATATTGATGCAAAAAAATGAAAGTTCTTAATGGAGTACCCCCATTTCTTATTGAATTCCTAAAAAATAACAATTATATTGAATTTTAATAATTTTTTTAGATTTTTTTAAGATTTAATCCAACCAATTCAACCGATTCTCGATCCAGATCACCAATTCCCTGATCCATATGGGTTTTTGAAGTGCCCGATCCGATGCACCGATCTGTTTTTTAAACCACTGGTTGCAAGTATACTATTTTAAGGACTTAAAATTTGCTTTTTCCTCATCTTTATGTCAATATGATTAATTAGACGTTAGAACAACATTTTTAAAAGGACTTTAGAGTTGCACCTTAATTCTACATTTTAAGGTGTTAACTTTATATAAATTTTTTTCTATATATTATACTTTATTTTAACCAGCTACTCTAAGACAACGAAAGATCAAGTGAAGCGTCTAGTAGACTCAAGGTTTTGAAACCTTGGATCTATTGAGACATAAAATTTAAAAATAGGAAGTATGGAGATTTTTTCAAACAAAAATTAATACCATAATTTTTCACAAGAAAAAGATGAGAAAAATTAGAAAAGAAAATAAGAGCAAGATCCCCTATATTTACCAGCACTGTTGGGCAAGTAGTAATGGAGATTATAAGAATACAAAAACAAAAATATTAAGTTAAGGCGATTCATTTTATTTTATAGAGTCATTTTAACTATAAAATAGATAGTGTCGACCTCAATAAGTTTTCAGTATTTACATATTTTAGGTAAATAATGGAAATCTACACTGCAATATCTAATTTCTTTGGAAACATAAGAAACTTGATGATTTTTAAATTTTTTTATTATTTTTCAAAAACTCTTTTAAGGCTGGATCAAACACAATTTACCAACGTGGGCCTCTGATCCCTCGATCCAGACCTCCCATCGCCTTACTTCTACAGTAAACAGGCGTTCATCTGGAGCATTCATGGCATCCTATGCAGGGGTATAATAGTCATTTCATTGATTTGGGCGTCCCTAGCATTTTCGAAAAGAGTTGGAGTCTTGGTTAGTGATGTTTGTTAGAGAGGAATAGATGGCGGTAGTATTCTGTTCAGTTTCTCTCTCTAAAAAGTGGATCGCAGAGAGAGAGAGAGAGAGAGAGAGGAGGAGGAGACGAGGCGTAGGACGTCTTACTAGTTGGACGAGAGTAGAGTAGAGACGTAGGAAGAAGAGAGTGGACGAAGTAAGAAAGGAAGAACGTACGTAAGGAA